ATACCCGAGATCGCCAAAACACCCGAGGCTACGCACTCTACCCGCGGGCGGAAGTGCTCGCAGGCGGCGTCGAGACCGTAAAACAAAGGCGGGGGAAGCGCGGAGGTATAAGAGCTAAGCTAAAGCTAACACCGCACCGTCTCCCGTTACCCAGCATTTTCCTCGCGTAATGTGCGGTCTTTGGTGAACAAAATGGACGAGTTACGACTTCGCATCATCCACAGTAAGAGACTTATGGACTGTAATGTCATGATCTTCACGGAAACATGGCTAAACAACGGAGTACCGGACGATGCTATCAAGCTAGCCGGTCGCCACACACTCCGAGCAGACAGAACAGCAGAGGACCGGTAAGACCAGAGGAGGAGGGCTGTGCATCTATATTAACAAAGCTTGGTGTACAGACTCTGTCATTATTGGGAGACACTGCTCAGCTAACATTGAGTTTCTCATGGTTAAATGTAGACCTTTCTATCAGCCAAGGAGCTCAGCTCCACTATTGTAACTGCAGCCTACATCCCCCCTGATGCCGATGCAAAAGCTGCTATGAAGGAACTTTACACCGCTATCAGTAAACAACAGACTGCTCACCGGAGGCTGCATTTATAGTTGCAGGTGATTTTAATCACTCAAACTTAAAGACAGTGCTCCCTAAATTTCACCAGCATGTTCCTGCAATACAAGAGGAAACAAAACTCTGGACCATGTTTACACAAACATCGCAAGAGCCTACACCACGACCCCCCTCCCCCACCTGGGACAGTCAGACCACCTTTCTTTGTTCCTCATCCCCAAGTACTCCCCACTCATCCAACGTGTGAAGCCATCAGTGACAACGATTAAAGTGTGGCCAGCGGGGACAGACTCTGTACTTCAGGACAAGTTCCATCACACAGACTGGAGTATGTTTGCTTCTCAGGCTACCTGGGCTCTCACACAGACATTGACACCTACACTTCTTCTGTGCTGGATTATATCAATACCACCATCGACAGTGTTACAACATGGAAGCAGATCACCACGTACCCAAATCAGAAGCCATGGATGAACAAGGAGGTGCGTCTCCTGCTGAAGGCCCGCAACACCGCCTTCAGATCAGATGACGCAATGGCCTACAGCGTATCCAGGGCAAACCTGAGGAGGGGCATCATCAAGGCCAAGCACTGCTACAAGCTGTGAGGCGCCCAGACGCATGTGGCAGGGCATCCAGGCCATCAGTGACTATAAACCCAGAAACTCCACCCGATAACCACAGATGTCTCCTTCCTGAACGAGCTAAATCACTTTTATGCTCGTTTCGATAGAGACAACAGGGAGACGCAGACCACGACCAGACCTCCTGCAGACAACCAGCCCCTCTCACTCACCTCCACAGACGTCCACGCTGCACTGAGCCGGATCAACGCTCGAAAGGCTGCTGTCCAGACGGCACCCCCGGCGCGTGCTTAGAGCATGTGCGGAGCAGCTCACTGGGGTTTTTACGGACATCTTCAACCTGTCCCTCGCCCAAGCAGCTGTGCCAGCATGCTTCAAAGCCACCTCCATTGTCCCAGTGCCGAAACACTCCAGCCGACAGGCCTGAATGACACCGCCCTGTAGCACTCACACCCATCATAATGAAGTGCTTTGAGCGACTGGTCCTAGCACACCTGAAAAACTGCCTCCCACCCACACTGGACCCATACCAGTTTGCCTACCGCAGCAATAGGAGTACAGAGGATGCAGTTTCCACTGCGCTGCACTCTGTGCTCACACATCTGGACAATAACAACACATACGCACGAATGCTGTTTGTTGATTTTAGCTCAGCATTCAACTCTGTCATCCCCTCCAAGTTAAACATAAACTCGGAGACCTGGGCTTCAACACCTCCCTCCGTCACTGGATAATGGACTTTCTGACCAACAGACCCCAGTATGTTAGGTCAGGACACACCTGCTCCACCACCATCACACTCAACACAGGCGTACCACAGGGCTGTGTGCTGAGCCCATTCCTCTACTCCCTCTTCACCCACGACTGCAGACCTGTACATGGATCCAACACCATCATCAATTGCGGACGATACGCGGTGATTGGCCTCATCAGCAACAACGATGACACAGCCTACAGGAGAGGTACAGCATCTGGCCGCCTGGTGTGCTGACAACAACCTGCTCCTCAACACCAGCAAGACGAAGCTCATCGTGGACTTCAGGAGAGAAAGAGAAGCACGCACAACCCCATTCACATCAACGGGATGGCTGTTGAACGTGTCTCCAGCTTCAAGTTCCTGGGACCCACATCACAGAGGACCTCTCCTGGTCCACTAACACCTCCAGTCTGGTTAAGAAGGCTCATCAACGCCTCTTTTTCCTGAGGACACTGAAGAGACACCACCTGTCTTCAGCTGTACTGATGAACTTCTACCGCTGTGTGATCGAGAGCATCCTGACCAGCAGTGTCTCAGTCTGGCACGGAAACTGCTCTGTCACAGACCGTAAGGCGCTACAGTGGGAGGTAAAAACCGCCCAGCGCATCACAAGGTGTCCACTTCCTGCCATTGAGGATGTCCAAAGAAAACGCTGTCTGCGGCGAGCTCACGGCATCCTTAAAGACTCCTCCCACCCTGCCCACAGACTGTTTACCCTCCTGCCCTCCGGTAGGCGCTTCAGAAGCCTCCGGACCAGAACCAGCAGACTGAGGAACAGCTTTTTCCCCAGAGCTGTCTCTCTACTGAACTCTACCCCCGAACTCTGAACTCTGTCTCTCTCTCTCTCTCCCTCTCTCTCTCCGCCCCTGCTGACCCCCCCTTTCCCCTGCATATCACCTCACACCCATCATCCCCCCACCACTCCTCCTGGTCACACACACACATCTCTCATCCACCTGTATTATTGTATTATAGTTTGTTCGTATCACCTCAATAAGTTATCGACCTGTACAATATGTCCATATTCTTTATATTATCTGTAAACTAGTATAGCATGCTCACTGCACCTTAATCTGTATATTATAATCCTAAAAATACACTTATATTTATAGCATTTATTTATATTTATAGCATCCCATTAATCCAGCCATCCATATATACCTAATAATTCACTTTTTTTAGTCTACATCTGTAAATTTTGTAATTACTGTACATAGCACAGACTCTTGCACTTTCTGCTTATTTGCACTTCTGGTGAGATGCCAAACCTCATTTCGTTACTCTATACTTTTATATGTGTAATGACAATAAAGTTGAATCTCATCTCATCTCATCTCAATGCCTGGTGATTACTTTTAAAGACTGGAGCTGCCTGTTGGTTTACCTCAGGCCTCCTCCAATGAGGATAGAGAATTCAGACCCCCCCACCCCCCCACACTTTTCACACCTATTTGTTAGTTTCTGTTGGGGGGTTGCTGGGCTAAGACCCCTTTGTTTAGTTGCCTCCAAAATAACTCTAGTCAGGCTCGAGACTGTGATACAGGCCTGAGTCCTTTGTCCCACACACATGGCTGAGGCCCAACAGAAGTAATTCGGCCTCGCTCGCATCTTTCTCTTTCTCCTCCGTGTTGGTCGCTTACAAGAGCTAGGCTACTCAGCGGCAGGAGTGGAGTATCCGCCGCCCTTTCGTCTCCGCGAAACAAGTGCTTCCGCGGAAATCTCGCAGTGCAACGGAATATCGCGAGAAGATTTAAAACCTTTAAAAAATAAAATCGATGTTCCCTTTTCCATATCAAGGATTAATTAAATATCGATCGAATCGAACATCACGATATATTGTCCAGCACTAATCATCTCTATAAACCCCTCTATTTCAGCCCTGCTCAGAACAGGCTGTTTCTGTGTCTGTACCTTTAAATATGTAAATGAGCTGTGTGACCACGCCCCCTCTCTCGAAGGGCTTGGGTGTCTCTGTCTTTCTCGCTCCATGTCCTATTGTTTACAGTGAGAAGGCAGACTCAGAGGGCAGAACGAACACCTAGCTTTGGGAGTGTCATCCACCTGGGGGAGGGCCTACTGCCCTTTGTGATGTCATGAAGGGAAAATCTCCAAACGGCCTGTTTGAGCACACATTTTCTGAAAAGTGGAGCAGGCAAAAGATAGAGATGATGGACTTTTCAAATCCATATAGAAATCTATTTACTATTTTATTTTATTAAATAAATATATATATTACTCGAGCCAATAAGAATCAAGCAGCCACTCTGAGGGACCCTTGATTGGGTCATCAGCTACACTATCACTCACTATATGGAATCCAATTAGTGTGATGAGACGATTTAGAAGTACTGAATGTAACTTCCTGTTTATAACAGGATGTGGGAGGATGAGTGTAGTTTGTCTGGCTGCTCATGACAAACCTTCCCTTCTTATAATATCTGATCTTTGTGAATGGGTCGACCGAGGGGGGTTAACGGCTGATTCCAGGTGTGAGGGGGGGCTGTGAGCTGTAATGCTGAGATGTAGAAATGTGAAAGAGGAGGTTTTTGTACTGCTGAGCAGTGACATGCAGCACTGTGTAAACTAGCTGCACAGAAATAGACCGCACTGCTGCTCTGATTGACTCGCTCGATTATTAACGTGCAGTTCTTTCCTTTACTCGCGTCCCCTTCTATCTTCACTTTAACGTCTTTCTCTGTATTTGAGCTGGTTGAATACGTATATCCCAGGAGCTGCATCTGTTTGTTTGACTTCTTGTACCAGAGGATTTGATCATAGCTTTGAATCTGGTGTGAACATTGTATTCTGGCTGGTTCTCCTGGTTTGCTGTAAATGTCTCTTGGAGTCTGGTGGACTTGGTCACTTGAAGAGGAAACTGTGGAAAGATCAAACCATTAAAGAATTAGTCCTCATGAACAGGAGTGTGACAGATTATCAAGAAAACTGCCATGTCTTTAAATCTATCTGCACACAGACTTTTCATTAGATTACCTGAAACCAGTATAATGTTCAAATGAACGATCAGGTAGAAGATGATCATGCTGCCTTTTCTGTTTGGTAATAATGTTTCTTATATGATACTCTCAGTGACTTTTTCCAGCCTCCTCTTGTCATAAAACCTCCTTTCAGCAAACTGAACAGGTAGTCATAAGGTGGGCGGAGCCGTAGTTTATCCTCCTCCTCTTAGCATCACGTCAACCACAGACACACAACACCAGCTCAGTAAAAAGGCTGAAAATAAACCACATTATCAGAAAGGAAATCCAGGTGTTCAGTAGAGATGAAGAGGAGGTTTTTGTACTACTGAGCAGTGACATGCAGCATTGTGGAAACTAGCTGCACAGAAATAGACCGCACTGCTGTTCTGATTGACTCGCTCGATTATTAACGTGCAGTTCTTTCCTTTATTCGCGTCCCCTTCCATCTTCACTTTAACGTCTTTCTCTGGATTTGAGCTGGTTGTAAACATATATCCCAGGAGCTGCATCTGTTTGTTTGACTGCTTGTACCAGAGGATCCGGTCATAGTTATCGATCTTGTGTTTACAGTTGATTTTGGCATCTTTGCCCGGTTTGATGAAAATGTCCTGTGGAGTCTGGTCGACTTTGTCACTGTTCGAGGAGCCTGTGGAAAGACATCGACCAAAATCAAGACACAGTTTATAAGAATGAGTTCAAACTCAAACATAAAGTTAGAACTGAAGGAGCAGCACTTTACAATACAGCACAATATAAATCAATAAAGTGATGTTGACTGAACCTTCAAAGACGTTACCTGAAACCAGAAACATGTTCAAATGAACGATCAGGTAGAAGATGATCATGCTGCCTTTTCTGTTTGGTAATAATGTTTCTTATATGATACTCTCAGTGACTTTTTCCAGCCTCCTCTTGTCATAAAACCTCCTTTCAGCAAACTGAACAGGTAGTCATAAGGTGGGCGGAGCCGTAGTTTATCCTCCTCCTCTTAGCATCACGTCAACCACAGACACACAACACCAGCTCAGTAAAAAGGCTGAAAATCAACCACATTATCAGAAAGGAAATCCAGGTGTTCAGTAGAGATGAAGAGGAGGTTTTTGTACTGCTGAGTAGTGACATGCAGCACTGTGGAAACTAGCTGCACAGAAATAGACCGCACTGCTGCTCTGATTGACTCGCTCGATTATTAACGTGCAGTTCTTTCCTTTACTCGCGTCCCCTTCCATCTTCACTTTAACGTCTGTCTCTGGATTTGAGGTGGTTGTAAACATATATCCCAGGAGCTGCATCTGTTTGTTTGACTGCTTGTACCAGAGGATCTGGTTATAGTTATCGATCTTGTGTTTACAGTTCATTTTGGCATTTTTGCCCGGTTTGATGAAAATGTCCCGTGGAGTCTGGTCGACTTTGTCACTGTTCGAGGAGCCTGTGGAAAGACATCGACTAAAATCAAGACACAGTTTATAAGAATGAGTTCAAACTCAAACATAAAGTTAGAACTGAAGGAGCAGCACTTTACAATACAGCACAATATAAATCAATAAAGTGATGTTGACTGAACCTTCAAAGACGTTACCTGAAACCAGAAACATGTTCAAATGAACGATCAGGTAGAAGATGATCATGCTGCCTTTTCTGTTTGGTAATAATGTTTCTTATATGATACTCTCAGTGACTTTTTCCAGCCTCCTCTTGTCATAAAACCTCCTTTCAGCAAACTGAACAGGTAGTCACAAGGTGGGCGGAGCCGTAGTTTATCCTCCTCCTCTTAGCATCATGTCAACCACAGACACACAACACCAGCTCAGTAAAAAGGCTGAAAATAAACCACATTATCAGAAAGGAAATCCAGGTGTTCAGTAGAGATGAAGAGGAGGTTTTTGTACTGCTGAGCAGTGACATGCAGCACTGTGGAAACTAGCTGCACAGAAATAGACCGCACTGCTGTTCTGATTGACTCGCTCGATTATTAACGTGCAGTTCTCTCCTTTACTCGCGTCCCCTTCCATCTTCACTTTAACGTCTTTCTCTGGATTTGAGGTGGTTGTAAACATATATCCCAGGAGCTGCATCTGTTTGTTTGACTTCTTGTACCAGAGGATCACGTTATAGCCTTGAATCTGGTGTGAACATTGTATTCTGGCTGGTTCTCCTGGTTTGCTGTAAATGTCTCTTGGAGTCTGGTGGACTTGGTCACTTGAAGAGGAAACTGTGGAAAGATCAAACCATTAAAGAATTAGTCCTCATGAACAGGAGTGTGACAGATTATCAAGAAAACTGCCATGTCTTTAAATCTATCTGCACACAGACTTTTCATTAGATTACCTGAAACCAGTATAATGTTCAAGGTTATGCAGCAAACAATGATCATCATTCTGAATGTTCAGTCACTCCTGGTTCTGCCACGGCGCTCTTCAGTTTAGTTCATACCGTAGAAGGCAAGCCTTCGTATCAGCAAACTGAGGGGGGTGGGGTCATCACCTCCTGTTCTCAACATTGAACCCATTCACTGCTGCACACCATCTGAGGAGTACAAGAACACACCTACCTCCGGAACAGACTCACTCAAATCTAAGGCCCCCACGATTACCTCCCTCCCCCCTGTCCCCCGCTGACCTGCACTCACACTGCTCCAGGACTAACCGGGTCTAAGCATGGTTACCTCTTGAACAAGCGTCGTAATACAACACATGCATGGCTTTATGTGATCATGAAGTGTGCTTAGTTTACAAGACTAGGCGGACTCGAGAAAAAAATGGAGAACAACACAGAGAACACAACAGCTACTTTACTGACTTTGAGGCTTGTTTTGAGTCATCTTAGTCAGATACTGCGAGAACTAAATTACAAAATAAAAGAGACCTGGGTGGAGTTCACGTCCGCACATCCGAGTACAGTGCAGAGAACATGACAGCTACTTTACTACTACTATTACTATTACTACAAGGACGGCTGTGGCTCAGTGGGACGGCTGTGGCTCAGTTGGTAGAGTCATCTTCTTTCAACAGAAAGGTTGAGGGTTTGATCCCCAGCTTGTGTGTGGTGATTTTGTGGGAAAATAGTCTGAAATATACCTGGGTGCAGGGTCCGAAAATCACTTTTTGACTCATCGGCCAAGGTGGCAGGCAGATGATAAAATACACCGGCCAAAATAAAAAATGGTGTTTTTGTGTCCCATACACATACATTACAGTACATTTAATTAAGAAGGCATTATTTTTAATCAATAACAGATTTAAGGTATTTTATCAGATCAGGAAATTGAGAAATTGAAAAAAATATATTTGCTGGCCTTTATTTGATTTATTTTTTTATTATTTGTAGGCAGTAGTTCCAGACCCTCCATGCAGAACTCTACTAGATTTTAGCACTTCACTTTCTCTTAAGTTCTTACTGAAACAGCTGAATGATTATTGGTTACACGTCTGTCAATCATCTTTAACAAAATGTGGACATGTGTATTAAAGTCATGCTGCCCAGGTTAAATGATCACTCCTGTACAACATTGCGGAGAAACAGTGCACCCTTATGGGTGTGAATAAAATCTGCCTCATGTCAGGCCAGCTGTCTGATTGAGTCATCCACAAAGTGGTTTATTGTTTGTCGTTCTGGTGGTGTCTCCTGTGGTGTTGGTTTTTGTTAAAGACGGAGAGTTTGTGCAGCACTGTGCTTCACTGGCAGCACAGAAATACACGGCGCTCTCTGATCCACTCAGCTTCAGGAGAATCAGACTTGACTGATTTTTACCATCACCACTCACATTATACAAGCCTTTGAATTGATCTTCTACAGTTGCAGAAGAGTAACGTACATATCCAAGCAGAGCCATGTCATGTTTCCCTTTAGACTGTTTATACCACTGGATCATATCAAAGTTACTGTTTGAGTGGTTGCAGGTCAACTGGACTTTTTCTCCAGGGTGTATGACCAGCGCTGCAGGCTTCTGATCAACATGGCTCTTTGAGAGTTCTGAAAGAGACATTTAAAAAGAAGCAGCTTTAGCATTAAAAATAAACCTCAGTGAAAATATTATAGTCCAGTTTTCACAAGTTTGCTCTTATATTACCTGTTAAACAGAACGTCAGAGCTAATATGAGGAGTCTGAACATGATCCTGACACTGATGAAAACTTCAGAAGAAAGATGTCAGTGAACTGGCTGCATGTAAAGGAGGAGCAGCACGGGGAGGAGGAGGGGGAGGGGTCGACACAATGAGCCACCACATGTCTTTAAAAGGGGATTTGTTCTTGTTTTGTTGTCACAGTTTTGATTCCTTTATTAAAAAATATCTAAAACAGGACTAGAAAACGGCCGTGCCTCCCTGAAGTAATCTTTGTGTCAACATGTTGCCTCCTCAGAGTTGATGGTCTAACAGTAACATTAGAATGAGAATGGGTGCGTTTACATGGAAGGTCGTGGGTTTGATCCCCAGCTTCTGTAGCCACATGTCTGATGTGTCCTAGGGCAAGACACACAAAGTTGCTCCCACTGCTTCGTCGTTGGTGTGTGAATGTGTTTGGATGTGATTGGTTACATCTGATGGTCAGCAGCCTCTGCTATGAACTTGAATATCCAGGTTTTGATCAGGTTTTTTTAAGTATACTGTTTTTTGTGTTTGTGCATGTAAACATCAGATCCTGATTTCAGGAACTGTGGATAAGCCCTTAACCGGATTTTAAGAAAGCCGGTTTTCCACCTGGAGAACTCAGAAAGAAACACACTGTGTCATCGTCTAACCCCGGTTTCTGACAGCTACCTACTACCTGCGCAGGCGCGGCCTCAGCCAAGTGACATATCAGCAAAACAAACATGGCGGTGGCAATGAGAGCGTCTCACTTCTGGAGAAGTGAGAGACTTCATTTTTGTCTTTCAGTAATAAAAGAATGAAATATGAATCAAAACGCTGAGTTTAAATTCTGTGGTGAGCAGGCTACAGGATGCAGTTGCTCCCTTGTCCTACGCGGTGGCAGAGACAGGCTGACACTGAGGTGACGAGGACATGTTTCATCTTTCCCAAATCAAGTTCAAAGAATCATTACAGTATCAGAAAGATCGACTGAAAACACGAGCCCGCAGACAGGGGAGCTAAAAAAACACTATTATTTATTGGCCTTTGAGAATTGCGCAGCAGTTTTTGGTTTGTTGGGGGGGGGGGGGGGGTAATGAACTGATAACTTTTACTATTTTTAAATACCGTGGGATACCTTATAACTGTATTACCACCCGAGCCGACATGTTTCCTGCCACAGCCTACGTGAGAGGAGTGAGATGCAGGTGTATCCCTCTTCTTATCTGTGAGTTCATTAGCTGATGATCACTGAGGGTTTTTGTAGAGAGGAGGAGGTCGAGTTACTGTGTGTACTAGCTGCACAGTATACATGCCGCTGTCTTCTGCCTGTCTGAGTTTCACTACATGAAGTTCTGATTTCTTCGAGCCATCTCCCAGACACATTGAAACGTTCTCGAATTTATCTTCAACGACTGCATTTGTGTACTGAATATATCCAATGAGGTTAAGGCTGGAGTTGCCTGTGGGCTGCTGGTACCACAGTATGACATTAAATGAACTTATAGTATGGCTGCAGCTGATAGTTGTTGAACCATCAGGACTTCAAATATCGATGGAGGCTCTTGTTTGACGTCTTTGGCCTGTGACTGACCTGGATTCAGAGAGAAAAACTTTATAAGACAGAAGTGATGACACAGAATAATAATTATCAAAAGATTGAATATAAACCTACAGGAGATGCAGAGAGAGCCACAGAATGATCGGATCATTGTTCCTCCTCTCTGTGTCTGGTTTCAGCGACAGACTGAACTGACCTGAGAGGGGAGGAGTCGGGGGGTAAGAGAGAATCACTCCCATGATTCCCCACCAACTTCATCTGTCTGTTATTGTTTTGATTAAGAGCCCCCTGGTGGTAGAATTGACATACTGTGCGTTTAAAACACTAAAACATACTAATGTCACTTTGCCTGATATTTATTAAATATTTGTTTTAAATGTGTTAAAAAGAGATTTTTATCTTTTTAAGTTTATTTTCAGGATGCGGTGATCTACTGTGAGATCTGAAATCACAGTTAATATAGAATACATGTGTCAATTTAAATAGATCATCGTTACACCACTAGTGAGCAGTCACATGTGTGAGGCTATACAAAGTTATTTAACCACTGAACATTCACCACCACCAACACATTCACAATAAAATGTTACGTAACCCGAGGCTTTCCTCGGTCAGCTTCGAGCACTCGGCTACGATAAGGACTACAGCCGCCGTACACGGGTGGGCGACATAACTGCTCGGCTACCAGCGCCTCGGAAACTTTGATTTTAAAGGGCTGCTTAGGCAAACTCAAGAAGATTTAATTTAAAACAAATTGAAACATGATTGGAAACTTAATATGAAATGACTTGAGCTCTGAATTGGATTCTTCACATTTCAAGGACATAAATTCATAATATGATCGATACCTCTGTCATTGCACATTTTCTGGGACACTGATGGCTGTGAAAGAACTATTGTGCACCCAGAGCTCCCCCTATAGATAATCAAACACTGATGTCTTTAATACATGTATTCATCAGTGGGGTATTTGTACAGCTGTCAGAGTCACCTGCTTCACTGTGTTGACTCACAGCACAAAAATACACTCCACTGTCTGCAGGCAGCAGCTTCTCCACAGTCAAAGATCCAGTCGAGAAGTTGTCCTTCTTTGCAGGAAACTTGTCCTCACTGAAGTCAGACCAGTACTGAGGAGGGGCAGATGATGTCATCAAAACGATTTGTTGC